CACTTCCAGCTTTTTCTGTGATTAATTGGAGAGAAGAGTCGCATGGATTTTCCTGCCTAGGCTGGCTTTGAACCACGATCCTCAGATCTCAGCCTCCTGGGTAGCAAGGATTACAGGTGTGAGCCACCAGCACTGGCAAGCCAGGGCACTTTTTTAGGAGGATAAAGGGACAGCTGTTAAGGGAGATGGCCTACAGGGAGGACTTGCTTTCCCCTCACTCTGCCTGCCTTCCCTCTGCCCACCCCTCTAGGTCCTGCTGTGAGGTTCCAGAGTTTGCAGAGGTCCCAACAGACAGGGAATGTCTTTGCTCACTCTGGGGGTGGCTTTGGAAGGCTGGGGGCCAAGATGAGTGATGTCTGAGGGAGGAGCCCCCTTTCTCTTCCTTCCTCTCTCAGTAGGGCGCTCTGATTCCCTGGCCAGGCTGAGGTCCAAGTCATTCCTCCTCCTATTCCCATCAGGGAGCCCTGGTTTAGAGTGCTGGAGCTGTGAGGCTGCGGAGCAGGTCGGCTCCAGCCTGCTCTTCTCTCTGAGGTTAGCACGGATGAGCGAGTCCACTCCCCTGGCTGGCCAGTGCCACAGACTTGTGTTCCCACACAGGGGTCCCTGCCACCAGCCTAAGTGGCTGCAGCTCGGGCCACCTCCAGGGCAGGAGTCTCCTTCAGCCCATAGGCTGCCATGATACCCACATCTTTCCCCCTGCCCAGCTTTTTTTCCTGACTCCTTCAGGCACTGACACCCAGAACATCATGGCAACAGGTTGAGGCCCAGGCTCTGTGGCCTCTCCTGCCCCCACCCGTACTCTCTGCCGCCAAGGGTGAAGGTAAATCTTAGGCGCTCTTGACTCAGGATGCCTGGCTGCTTCCTGTGCCACAGGGGCCATGAATGGGCTCTTCGGAGCCTCAGTGGGGCCTGCGGGGAGGCCGCTGATGCTCCTGGCTGTCCACAGCCCCGACAATGTGAAAGTGTGGCTAGAGCCTCTCTGCTGAGGTTTCCACCCAGGGAACTGGGCAAAGGGCACAATGCATTCCTCTGCCCCCCACCTCCCTCTGGCAGACCCTCAGGTGCCTGGGACACCTGCTGCTGCTGGAAGTCCAGCATGGCCTTGAGATAGGAGGCTGGGGGAGGCTAGATTCCAAACCTCCTGTGTTCCCAGTAAAGACAGGGCCATTATGAGCATGATGGAATATTGGAAAGGGAGAAAAAAGCAGGAAAGAAAAGGAGAGAGGAAAGAGTAAGGGATGGATTTGAGAGCCTTGACCCATTTCAACAGGTCTGGTCCTTTGTCTCCACCCCGGGATTCTCCTTCATGGCCTTTGGCATACTGAGGAGCAGTAGGTACTGAGCTTGAGGGGTGCTGGCGGGAGGCTGAAACCTTGTCCTAGGTGCCTGCCTACAGCCATGCTGTACCAACTCCAGGCTGGGTAAGACTTGAACCAGCCCCAAGAAACCCACACCACCCAGGCACTTCCAAGGGGAAGCTAGAAGGATCAGCTGGGACCCCAAGCCCCGCATCTACCATACTCATGGAACTTGAAACCCTCAGCAAGGGAGACTCCCTCTTGTCACAACACACTAAACACAGGGACAGAAAAGGCTGAGCCAACTTGACATTTGAGGACTGAACAAAGTTGAGCTTCATGTTGGCCAGAGGGCAGAGCCCTGACTGGACTCTTTGTTCATGTCTAGGAGAAAGAAAGCTGCACCAACGCCAGGCAGAGAAAGACTTGACCAGGGTTGCTACACTGAGTGGGCCCTTGTGCTGTCATGGACATGCTGAGTGACTTGGGCCAAGTACTTGCTTCTCAGTTGCTTCAGCATCTGTCAACCAGGAGGGGTGGGTGTGCTTCAGGGACCTTTCTGCATGTGTAAGGCTCTAATGAGAAAGGGGTACACAGGAGTCCCAAGAGGCAGAACAGTGTAAGAGGCATTGGTTAGGGGACACTGGCCTCATTATCAGGCTGACCCCGGGGCAAGCTGAAGTATCTTCATTTAGCTCTGGTCGTGGGTACAGTGCTGGGGGCAGAGCCTCAGCAGATGTATAAGGTGGACCCAGAACTCAGCTGGGCGCCATGGCATGACTTCTGTGCATGTATGGGTGCTCCTGAGGGACTGGCACTGGCATCCAGGCCTACTTCCAATGCAGGAGGAGACAGGACTTGAAACTCTTGCTGGGAATCAGGTACCCGGCAGCTGGCCTTGACCTACTTAGTCTCCTGAAGTTTAGCCACAAAGCTTGGAAACCCCCCACCCCAGCTTGAAAGCAAGGGGACTTCCCGAGCTAGCCTGCAGCCTGATGAGCTAGCACAGGGCCTGCAGATCACAGGAGAGACACTACACTTTGAACACGCCTGGCCAGCGGGGCCAGAGCCACATCTGGTTCTCATTCAAATGTCCAAGTGTAATTAAATTCTCTACGACTCAGCCAAAGGGTTTGGTAAGATGTGGCTTTTCCCCCTTTCCATCAAGGTTAAAAAATCACAGCCCCTCATTCCACTGCAGACTCACTCACTCTTCCCTGTCATGGTCTCCTAGACTGCGAAGGCCTCTGTGCTTATCTGTTTTCTTTTTTTTGTTGTTGGTTGTGGGCCTGAACTCTGGGCCTGGGTGCTGTCCCTCAGCTCTTCAGCTCAAGTATAGCCCTCTATCACTTGAGCCACAGCGCCACTTTTGGCTTTTTCTGCTTATGTGGTGCTGAAGAATTGAACCCAGGGCCTCATGCATGCAAGGCAAGTGCTCTACCACTGAGCCACCTTCCCAGCCCTCTGTTTCTTTTTTTTTCTTTTCTTTTTTTGTTTCCTTCCCTCCCTCTTCTTCCTTCCTCCCTTCCTTCCCTTCTTCCTTCCAAGACAGGGCCTTATCATGTCTTGGAGTCCTGCCATGGGCACTGTAGAAAGGCCAGTGCCACCGCTGCTCTGATTCTCCCACAGCCCTGAGCTCACTTTAGTGCCACTTGTTTGCATTCATTGCTGAGATATGGGGTATCCTGTAATATCTACCAAGAAAATCCCTTTTTCCAAACTCCTCACAAGAAGAAACATTTGGGAGTTAAGTTTCTGGCCTGGCTTGGCCCTATAGCCAACTACAAGAGACTACAGTGTGTGGTCCCCACACTTCCTACCTCCACCCTGGGGCTGCAAACCTGCTGCATGGAGGCACCTACCCCTACTCTCCCCACCCCATGCAGGAAGGGGATATCATCGAACAGCTAGGGCAAGAATGGCATCTGAGCCCAAAGAATCCTGGGATTGCATCTCAGGATTGCTGGTCATTTGTGGCTACAAGGACCCACAAGAATAGGGTCAGTGGGGTCCGAGGTTCAGTCCTTTGTGAGAAGGGGCATGTCCCGCTCAGTAGGAAGGACACATGATCTCAGGCTCTAGGGCCTCTCCTCCATGGCCTCCTGTTCAGGACTTCTCCACTTCAGGCAGAACATTCCTGAGGCACCTGCCTTCCCAGTTTCCCTGCCCACCGAGCATCCTCAGCATATAGTTTCTTTTCACACAGCGGTTTATATGACTTTCATGCTAATGGGTTCCATTCTGTTTCCTCCATGCCTATATTTCTCATAGACTTTTATGAGATTTTCTTAATAAGTGGTGGGATGTTTCTTTTTGGAACACACTTCCTTGTGAGTTAGTGACTTATTGTGGGTGTGGATGCTACCCAGAGACAGCTGGGAGCTGGGGAGAGGCTTGACCAGGACAGGGGTAGAGCATGCTGCAATCCCTTTAAGACTCCTGTGTAAGAATCTCACTTACCGCTTGTAAGGGAGAGCTAGCAAGATGCACAGGCACATGTGGCATCTGGGTGGCAAAGAATATTGACGTGGGAGGCAGGCACATATCCACACAGGCTGGTGTGAATCAATCATTCCAATAGCACTGACCTAGTTCACACTAGGTATAGTGTTTTGTAAACTTGAATTTAGTAAAGGAACGAATCTTTTGGTATTTAGCATGAGGCCCACATATCTGGTGGTCTTTAAAGTGAATTAGATCTTAAGGAAATAAACCCAATTCTTAGTCCACTGTCCTATATCAAGCCTGGCACAAGGCATAGTGTTAGGTCAAGGTCTCTGTGGCCCCCTTTGGATCTCAACCTGCGTTCTGGTTGGCGTTCTTGTGCTATAACAGGAGAGAACCGTAGTCTCCTGAACTGCAGTGAGCCTACCTGTCCATTTGCCTGTCTGTCTGCAGGAAGCAGGCTGGGCTGCCGCAGCTCAGCCTTTGTGTTCGCAGACTGGCTGCTGGTGCCGGGGCCCTATTCATTATTCAATTCAGCCAGCTCAGACGAGCCTTTCCATTTGTTCCTCCAGGAGGAATAACAAATCTAGAAATGCAATTCCACTTTGGTGTATTAAGATATTGATTTGCCTGTCGAGCAGAAGTGCATTTGCTCTGCCAGCCCTCCCGTGGGGAGGAAGGGGTTAACCAAATGTTTATCACAAGGCTGGCTTCAGAGTTGAAAGTAATGTGATCAGTAATGAATTTTGTGTTACATTAGGTTGTATAAATGGACAGACAAGCGCAGACAACAAGTGGCCAGGAGTCGGGGCTAATCTAATGATGTAAAAATAGAGACAGCACCAATTATACTAGGGGCCAGCTCCAGGCTCCTGCAGGGACTGCAAATGAATAGGTACAAATCAAATTACTCACTAATAGACGCACTACAAGAGGGGCAGTCAATGGTAAATGCATTAGAGCCTAGTGACCTCTCTCCTCTGCACAGCAGAATCCGAAAATTTGACTTCCATCTTCAGAGTGGGGGGCTGGGAGTGGTGTTCTCAAAGAAACTCTTGTTGGGTGCAAGATGGCAAAATGCCCCCCCCAACCCAAACCAGCCCCTTGTAGAAGAGACCTCCTGTCCAAGCTGACCTCTTGCCTTCACTCCAGGCCTCCTGAAGCCTGAGCATCAGGGGTAGGAGGCACCCACTTGAGGGACAAAGAGAAGAGTGAGACGAAGCCTTCTGTGTAAGGCAAAGACAGGAGGTTACATACCAAAACACTTCACAGCCATGTGTCTCTCAGGGGTGATGTTTGTTACTGCTACGTCAAGGGCTGTGTCTGCATTGGAAATAAAATATTTCTTTAAAGAAGATCACACAATGGACCTTTAAGAGCACAGCAAGAACTGAGATCAGCTTGAGTGGATATCCAGATCAGGTTTGACCACTGAGGGCTCTGCAAGGGCTGCTCCTAGATTTCTCACCAGCCCGGCTAGCCCTCCTCCCTGCCCTGGCCCCTCCTCGCCAGCCCACCCGCTGCAGCATGAAGATGGGACGGGAGGGATCTTTTGGGTTACCCCTCAAGTTTTTTTTCTGCCTCTTTAGGTTCCATGGCCTGAAGTTCAGAGCCACTTGGCCATGAGGCTGGGCTGCCCAGGGAACCACTGCAGGGACATGCACGGATGCGTCTGCCGTGCGCTCATATGAATAAAATATGACACCAAAGAAGCTCCAAGCCTTCCAAGGAGCAGCCTGTGTTCAGTGGAGGCAGGGTCCCGGGAGGCTTGGCTCACACTCTCCCCCAACCCACCCTAAGGCCAGCACCACACAGTCACACACATCCAAATGGAGAAAGCCCGCCGGCACTGGCCAGCCGAGGCCTGGAGACCATGGGACTGTGCCAGCTCCCATGAGCACGGCGGGGGGCGGGGGGTGCACAGAATGGAAAAAGTCATCCTGAACAAATGAAGCAAGTGGATAGTGAGCTCCCCCAAAGTCACTGAAGCATCCAGAGGGGTGACACTGCAAGCTACTGAGCTACACTGAATGTGGCACACATGGGGGAACTGCAGAGGGCTGGGCAGCCACTCTGCCAACAGACTTAAACATATATTAGGCAGTGGGTTTGCAGGTACCTGGGAGCTGGGGTTGGAGAGGAAGAGGATTAGGTGGGAGAGAAATCTCCCCAAACGTATGTCCCCTGTTCCATGTGACCAGAATTGGCCTTCTTGTTTTCTTTTTTTTATCTAAATAGTCAGAGGGTTATTTCCAACATTCCTCTGTGTGTGTGTGTGTGTGTGTGTGTGTGTGTGTGTGTGTGTGTGTGTGTGTGTGTGTGTGTGTGTGTGTGTGTGTGTGTGTGTGTGTGTGTGTGTGTGTGTGTGTGTGTGGTGTGTCTTTCCCTCCTCCCAGCCAGCATTCCCAGCAGCTGGTCTGCATGCCTCCCACCACCTTTTGAGCAGGCAGAGGCAGAAGAATAAGGTGGGCAGTAACCCACCCATGACTTAGCTCTACTTGGCTCAGATCTCACATCTCACATAAGGGCCAACAACTAAAGGTGACTTCTCTGGCAGCAGAGGCACTGAGAAAAATCCTCCCTTTAGTTAACCATTTACCTAAGCTAAGGCTTCCAGAGGAGAACCCTGCTCTGGGGTCCACAGCCCTCCTCCACCCTCTGTCCAGCTACCATGTTTTCTTTCATCTTTCTTTGTGTGTGTGCGTGCCAATACTTGGGGCATTTTCTCTCAGTGCTATCTGTTGGCATTTTCACACAAGCCTAGCACTCTACCACCTGAGCCACAGCTTCATTTCTGGCTTTTTTCCTGGATAATTGGAAATAAGAGTCTCACACACTTTATTGCCTGGGCTGGTTTAGAACCACGATCCCCAGATCTCAGCCCCCTGAACAGATATGGGCCACCAGTACTCAGCTCTTCCATCACTTTTCTATGTTGGGACAACACCTGGGAACAGGGCTTTGAAGGTCACTCAGGGGTCACACTGACACTTCCTCTTTGTTGGCAACTATCAGTGTGCTTCTGTTACTGTTGAAAATAGACTTTAGGCAACTTGGAAAAGTACAGAGGAATTTTACAGTCCTGAACTCCTACTGTAGCCCTGCCCTTTGGCTGGAGCTTCCAGAAGGACAAGAGAGGGTGTGGAAGGGAGAAAATGACCTACCTGGAATCTGATCTGAGACCTATCCCAGAACTAACAAGTGTCCTTTCTAAGTATAATCACTATTCCCATTGCATTGGCTAGCTTTCATTTACCTCCTAGAGGCCACAAAAACCCAGCCAGTCATTCAACAAACATTAACTGAAGCTTAACTTGGCTCTGATCCCAATGCTGGATCCTGAGCAGAGAGAATGCTGATGGCTAGATGAATGGGACTGGTCCAAGGAATTAGAATGGGGTCATGGCACTATGTATGTATGTATGTATGTGTGTGGGGGTGGTAAATGAAGGGACTACAGAGCTGGTCCTTCCCCCAATGGTACAAGAATGGAGTCCACTATGGGTAGTTATTGGGAAAGGCAGCAAGCATTATTTGCCAAGGGCCAAGAATCCTGTGAGTAGGTGGTGTAGACATTTAGAGAGACTCATGTAGCTGTGGGCTGGGGGTAGGGAGGGAAAGTGAGCTTGATAGGAAAGGAGATGACTGGACAGAGGAACAGGGAAGTGGTCATTTTATGGCAGATCACTGAGTCAACCCAGATAGGGAGCAGCAACAGTGCTGGGGGGGGGGTGTCCTATGTTTGTATGAGGTTGTGGCAAACCTGAAGGGGGTAGTCCGGATGGGGGAAAGGAATTAGGTTGGAGAGAAGGGTGGGGAAGGCCAGAAAAAGACTTAGAATATCCCAGCAAGGAGGCTGGGTGGGCATGTGGTGGTACTGGACACTTTTTCGAGTCAAGGGATTAAAAGTGAGGCCAGCTATCAGTGGCTCACACCTGTAATCTTTGAGTAATCCTACCCAAGAGCCTGAGATCTAAGGATTGTGGTTCTAAGTCAGCTGAGACAGGACAGTCTGTAAGACTTTTTATCTCCAATCAACTACGAAAAAAGCAGGAAGTGGTAGAGCACTAGCATTGAGTAAAAAAACCTCAGGGACAGTACCCAGACACTGAGTTCAAGCCCCAGGACCAACACACACACACACACACACACACACACACACACACACACACACACAACTCTAAAAGTGGGCCTTCTCTTCCTTTTCTGGGGACTTCACCTCTTCCTTTTGAAAGTATTGGGCTTGAACTGAGGGATTTGTGATTAGTAGACAGGTATTCGACCACTTGAGCTATGCCTTCGACCCTACTCTTTTTCTTTTGACTAAAGGACAGGTCACCTTCTGACCAGGTATCATTACCAGGATGTTTAGAACTGGACGTTCTTCTGAGGTTTTATCTAATCTCCTATTTATTTTCTATTTTTAATCTCATGTTGAGTCTTTGAAGCTGGAGCGAGGAATCTCTAACTACCTGGCAGTCGTATGATGATTCGAGACCATCACGTGGTGTGTAGTCTCAAGTACAGAAGCCCCCTGGGTGGCCACTGCTACCATTTCAAGAAAGAATCCAGAAGCAGCAGGCCAGAGGCCAGCACTTCGCAGGGAGAAGGTAAACATTGGCCCCATTTACTGTTCTTTCCCACTGTCTAAGAGAGAGGGAAACTGAACCCCTGGAGGGAAAGGCCTAGGTCACAAGCTTCCTTCATATCTTGATGACAACTTCCAAATCACACCAGAAAGGAAACACAAACATTCTTCCCAGTGGCAGCGGCTGGTGTTGGGAACTGAGAGGGCTCTCAGATTTGGCCTTTCCTCCCAATGGAAAATAGCTAGGAATAGGCAATCTGACAACTGACCTGAGACACAAATAGCAACACCCACAATGCCAGGCCCTGCTGCAGCCTTCCTATCCCACAGTCTCATGGCAGCTGTCCCTCCCCCACTGGGAAGGACCTTCCACCTGCTGCTGGGTCTGGGCTCCCTGCCTTTAGGGGTGTATGCCCTCCTCCAACCTCAGCAATTAGGCATCAATTGTTGAAAGTTCACAGGTTTGTCTTTGCAATCTCTTATGGCTTCAGTATGAAATGCTCCCTCCCCACCCCCCACCCTGAATTCATAAGCTGAGAACTCATGTACAGGATGCATGTACTGAAAGCTTGGTTCCAGCTGACAGTGCTATTTTGGAAGCTAGTGGAAATTTTGGGAAGTGGGGCTTAGTTGCAGGAAATGGGTCACTGGGGGTGTCTCTCTGAAGGGCATATGTTGTTCTGGCCTTCCTCTTCTCTCCTTCTAACCTCTCCCTTTCTTTCTTCTCTTCTCCTTTCCCTTTTGTTTCCCCTGCCCTCTCCTTCTCTCTCTTCCCTTGCTTTCTCTCTGCTTCCTGTCTCCCATGAGGTAAAGAAGCTCCTGCCACCAGATGTCTAGGCATCCATGGGATGAATCAGCTGTGGACTAAAACCTCTGAAAGAAAATCCTTCCTCCCTTAAGTTATTCTCTCTAGGGCCCATTTAGATAGAGCAGAGGAAACTTCCCAGCTGCCTGACTAAATTTCCCTGAAAGAACAGTGTTGGCCAAGTAGCTTGGTACAAAGGAGTGAGGGGCCAGTTAAGAGCAGGAGTCCATCAGGGACATTAGCTGGAAAATCCTAGAGTCCTGGATAAGAGAGCCAGACTGAGCTATGGCTTAGGAAAGTGAGAACAGCTGGTCAAATGGATCAGCCTCTCCTATTTCAAGAAGATGGGAAGGTAAGACCAGGAAAAATAAAGATACTCATATATCGTGAAGAGGACAGATATTCTTACTCTCAAGAGGCCTTTTCCAGGAAATCTGGGGTAAACACCACTTCAACTAAGAGGAGAGCAAGGATTCCATTAGAAAGATCAGAGCAGCTTCGTGGCAGTGGGGCAAAAAGTAGGACCCCAAGGTTGTGACCCACACTAGCCCGTGAAAGCAGCATTTCAACCCACAGGAAGCCTGATTACCTTAATGTAGGAACGGGATAGCTGTCCCAGGATCAGTGAGGGGCCTGCCCTTTAGTTAGAAAAGTTCATCCCTGGGAAAGAGACTCGAGGGGCCCACACAAGCTACTACCGCTCCTACAGCTAAGGTCTCATAAAACAACAAAACAAAAAACCTGAATGCCAGGGTCATCTGTGACTTGCATGTTTTTCATCTGAAGGATGGAGAAAATTCTTTCTTTTTTTTTCCCCCTTTTAGTCAGTGGTGGGGCTTGAAGTCAGGCTCTGGGCACTGTCCCTAAGCTCCTTTTGCTCAAGGTTAGGGCTCTATCACTTAAAGCCACAGTACCACCACTTCAGTTTTC